TGAGATGAACCCTGAGAGACATGAAAACAGTGCGAACCATGGCTCCTACAGCAATGCGCTTAGCTCATTTCTCTCATATTTCAAAAGCAAAAGTGTCAAGGTCTCTTGTGATAAGTCCCGCCCATTGCCCGAGTCTTTTGTATGCTATTTTTACTCTCTCACAAGCCGATTCGTTATAGCCTAGTTGACTAAACCGCCTCATATTTTTGATTAGGTGCGGGCAATAGGCGATCGGGAGTTCGATACCCGACGATGGGTGTTACTTTTTAATGGTTGTATTGAATGTTTTAGACTAATCATTAAAAAATAATTAATACTAGATGATAAATGTACGAACATTATCTCGTGAGTTAATATGTTAAACAAAAATACTGGAATATACCTCCTTCATATAATCAGCCACATGTTCCCCCAAATTAATGACGTTATTTTCTTTTTTCAATAAAGTTAATTTGCATTCAACGTTCGTAAGTTAAGCAAAAAGTACCTATTGATACAAATAGAAAGACATGAAAATAGTATGTCTAACATTTCAGTTGTTTTTTTTTATTTATTTTTTGTTTTTTTGTTTTTTCAATAAAACAAATTGACTGGGACTAGAATCATTGTATCTCTGAAGACAAAAGCTAAGTTTTTTGATACAGAAATACTGATATATTCATCCTTTATATAATCAGGGAGATGTTGACCCAAATATTGATGTATATTTTCTCTGTTCGCCCAAATTAATGATGGTATTTTCTTTTTTCAATAAAATTAATTTACATTCCACGTTCTTAAAGCAATATTTTCTCCAAAATTCAGCAAAAAATAACAATTTATACCTACGCAAAAAGTAAATAAATAAATAAAGCAATGACATGAAAGTAGTATAGGTAGTACACATCTAACATTTCATTTACATCTATTTGAATGAAAAAATGGCAACTTAGGAAGCACATAGGTCACTTATGATGCGTATTTGGGCATATGCGTAGAGTAAAAATATTATACTTTACGCCGAAAAAACGAAACTGAAAGTTAAATGCGTTAACTTCCAAAAAGCATGCATAATCCAACGAAAATAAATAATTGGTAAATAACAGATTTCTTGTATGCAAAGAAAAAAAATTAAAAATGTTAAAAAAGAGATGTCGACACAAAATTACATAGCCCCTTCAATTCTGAAGATACTACAAACGAACTGTACCTTAACATTTTCATATCCCAGAAGCAAAAGTTCCCATGACGAATATTGCTATCGCTAGCGATTGCAAAAACCAACTTGTTACTTTTTAAAGGAATTGTTAAAAAAATAAAGGTTATATACGTAACGATTTATATAACGGCTGCATAACGATTTTAGGTAGGTATAAGAAAGATAGTGGATTTTTGTAAAAAAGTACCCATTTTTAAATAGGTATCTCGTTATATATTGTAAAATGTAGTTGTTATATAAACAGTACATAAATGATGCTGAAATGTGCCTGGTTTCTGCCGTAAAAGCACTTTCTCAACAAATTTAGAAACATGGATTTCCGAAATATAAAATAACGTAATACATGAGAAAAATGGAACACATTTCGCTCTCTAATTTATATATCAGATTCAGGGTCTTTGGAATTTAACGTACTTAACTTTCAGGATCAATTTTTCGGCTTCTTTTTTCTACACAGATATGTCCGAAAACGCTTCATAAGTGAGCTGTGCACTTATAAAGTTGTCGTAAGTAGCTTATACTTTGTGTAGGGGGGTATTTCATAGCGTACTGTTCAATTTCTGTGTTTTTAAGGACGTACGTCCTCAGAAAATGACGTCATGAGCGTTCCCGAATTTTAAAATTAAGATAAATTCTAAGGTTGAAAAAACGGATTACTACACGTAAAAGAGTGCGAAAAATCAAGCGGGGTAAGTATATAACAAAATTTTCTAGAGACGCGTCATTTCGACGCAACAGAGATTTTACAAAGTTTCAGATTTTCGAAGCTCCTTGCTGGGTAGGAAATTTTTACAGCAAGGACTGTCAGAAAGCATAGCTCATAGCAAAGGAAGCGTATAGCTCACTTATGTAGCTTTTTAGGGCATATAAGTTTAGGGGGAAAAAGCCATATTTTGGGCGGAAAAATCGATCCTGAGAATTAAGTACGTTAACTTCCGGACACCTTGTATATTATTTATATAATAATTATATGTCAGTTACATAGTCTTTATATTGATCTTCATGTTAAAGGTAATCTAAAAATGGATACTTTTAACAAAATTATACAATTTCCTGTTAAAATATGTGGAAACCCTTTCACAAAATTTCGGTTAAAAATATGGAAACTCTTCCACTATATTTTAGTGCTAAGTGTGGAAACCTTTCCACAGTATATCGTCACCTTCCAGGCAAAGTATCACAAGCGCCATGCGACGTTTAAAAATGTCCGCCGCCATTATATTTTTTTACTGAGAAATTGTTGGTTGAATCTGTTTGGAAATTTCACTAAATTTTATCGGCAGCACAAAGAATTCAATGAAATTTTCGGACAGCTTCGTTGAACAATTTCTCTGTAAAAAAATATAATGGCGGCGGAAATTTTTAAACGTCGCATGGCGCTTGTGATACTTTGCCTGGAAGGTGACGATATGTACTTCGGTAAAAATTGTGGAAATGCACACTTTGTAAGGAATCGTAGAAATCCTTCCGCACTTGATGGGAAATCGTGGAAACACAATTATCCTCACAATATCCTAATAAAAAATGTGAAAACTCCTCTTGAATATTTTGGTGAAAACTGAGGAAACCCTTCCACGAGTTTCGGTAAAAAAATATGAAATTAGAAGAAAGGGGGAAAAAAAAGGAAAAAGTTTTCACAAATTCTACGAGGTGTCCATATTTTCACGCGAAATTTTTTCGCATGATGGCGCTTCCGTAAAATCGGCAGGGACATTCCGCAATTTCATCTAGAATAATGTGCACCCCTAAATGGTGCTTGAAGGAAATTTTCCATGCCATTTTTCAAAAAGTACGGTCTTACAAAAACAGCTCAGGGTGTGATTATGAAGTTATATGTACCCTCCTTATATGATCTGTACTCTGCCAATTTTGAGTATAGTCCTACAATCTTTTAGAAACTAAGAAATGGTCCTGGTGGTGCTTGGTACCAATTTTTAAAGAATTGAAGGCGTTTTTTTCAAATTTACGGTTGCACCAAAACAGATCACGGGTGTCAATTTTGGTAATGTAGTCAATTTATTGTTTTTGCTTCCCAGACCCCCCCCTCTTCCCCATTTATTATGGCGTATCTAAAAATCACTTGGCGTGCATAAGGAGATCATAAATATGGTCTGCCATGCCCATTTTGAGTGTTACAAATCATTTTTGAGGCTGCACTTACCAATCAAGGATGCCATACACAGACGGACACATATTTTTTTTTTAGCATGGTTTTGTTTCACTCCCCAAGTAGCAGTGATCGCGATAAATTGCGATTTAATCGGAGAATGTATCGCGATTTTATCGACGTCGATTTATTGCAATATTATTGGATAAAAAATCGCGATGAATTGCGATTTCATCGCATTGAATTGCAATAAAATCGCAATTTTATCGACGGCGATTTATCGCGATAAATTGCGATTTCATCGCAATAAATTGCAATTAAATTTCGATTTCATCGAACGAGATTTTGTAAAGATAAAATTGAAATTTCTCATCAACGCCCGATAACGCATGAATGACGCTTATGAAAGATATTCTTTAGCGGCTAGGTGTAAGAACGATTCGATACGAGGTTGGGTTGGGGTTTGGATGGTGGGAGGTACGCCCACTGAGAAAAAATTCTCGGCGTTTTTACCAAGGTCGGTTGGTAAATTTACCATCTCACTTTTTTTACCAATTATTGGTAATGTTACCAAGGGAGACTGGTAAGCTTACCTAAAAACCGGTATTTTTACTGGTTATTTCAGGTGGGAATACGTACCGTTTTTATTGGTAATCAATTTTCGGTAACTTTACCATTTTATCTCGGTCGAAAAAAAATGTTGGCGTTTTTACCAAGGTCCATCGGTAACTTTGCCATCTCACTATTATTGGTAATTTTACTGAGACAGAAATATGAGATTACCAATAGAACCTTTTTTTTACCAACCGTATTTCAAGGTATGAAATAAAATACAGAGGAGGGAAAATAAAAAAAAGAATCCAATGATCCCTCGGTGTCAGTCAACGCTATGACAAAAGTTGTAAGGTTCCGAAGCGCCGATCCATGTATAACAGGCTTCAATTCGCACTATTTAGTCACATAGTGGCCATATTCTAGTGGCAATGTGCTGGCCTACCATCGCTGCGACTGGGGTTCGAATCCCCGCGGAGGCTCCGGGAATTTTACGCTCGTCCTCGTCAAAGGACTTGACGACTGAACCTAACGGCAATCGGCTAACAGTGTAAACCCCTTTTTTTGGCGATTTTATCGGTGATAAAATCGATAGGATCATGAACATCTGAGCGATTGTCCTCGATCTTATCGCGATAAAATCGCAGTTTTTTCGGGCCGATAAAATCGCAATAAAATCGCGAAAATATCGAGGATAATCGCTCAGATGTTGATGATCCTAGCGATTTTATCGCCGATAAAATTGAGGATAATCGCAATTTTATCGGCGATAAAATCACGATTTTTCCGTTGAAAAATGCTACTTGGGTCCAGACACCTTAAAACGCCTAGAAATAATGAAATCACAATTTTATTCTTTTAAGATGACAATATTTCCTCCATCCGCAAGGAGAGCTAGAAGGCAAAAGTAGGTACCTCCTCCCCTACCCAATTTTGCCATAAAGTAGAGTTTGGGTTTCCTCTTGGGAGGGAAGGGTGAAGCGACAATTGGTCAAAACTATTCAAATGATTTAATATAGGTGCCACACTCCTGGTGGAAGAGGGGGGATTAAACTCGGTATACGATGAAAAAATAATTTTCATAAATTAATTACTACAAACTCTCTATCTTACTTGTCGCTCATTTTAAAAAAACATTTTCAGCTCCAAAATGATGTCTAATATCGAAAGGGATAGGAAAATAGCTCTTCAGGCAGGACGGCGTTTGGCTAATTGCAAACCAGGAGAGGAAGTTTGTATCTCTGGCATCGCAGGATTTTTCCCTGACTCAGACAATGTCCGAGATTTTGGCGAGAAGCTTTTTAATAAAGTAGATTTAATCTCTGACGACGACAGAAGATGGAAATTGGGTAAGTATTAATATTTATGTATTCTTCTATTCATGGTAGCTTTTGTGTATGTGCCTTTGGCAGCCGAAAGTTTTCTTGAATAATGAGTAGACTGCCAGGATTATCCGCAGGTGTTGCCGAAGTTTCATTGTTATACCTGCAGGCTAGCAAGAATCATCATTTTCAATGCACAACCAGAACCTAGGAAAGACCGGAAAACATCCATGTGAGGAGCGTTGGAAGACATGCATTTGCACAAAAGTGCAAATGCGTTTCATTAAACCTCGTTGAACGGGAAAGTCTGCATTGTTTCCAACCAGCGGTGTGTGCCGAAAGGTCAGCCCGGTTGATGAAAGAGTCAATAAGTTAGTAGTCGATGGATTTCATTGCCTTATTTAAAATATCAAGAACTATAGGGGTTTTCATAAATGTATCAACCCAAAGTATTGAAGCGCCAGTAACTTTGTAACAACAAATTCGCAGCTAGTAACCCACCGCACAGATTTCCTCAGTAGATATACCTACTTGGCTTAATGTTAGTTTAATATAATACAAAAACACCAAGATCAATACATATTTATAATCGTTTCGCATTTGAACTCTTCTCTGATTTCAGAACATCCTGAGATTCCACAAAGGACAGGAAAGCTAAATGAAGTCAGCAAGTTTGATGCAGCGTTTTTCGGTGTTCACTTCAAGCAAGCTCACACAATGGACCCCATGTGCCGGATGCTTCTGGAGAAGGCTTATGAAGCAATAGTAGATGCAGGTGCCTTAATTATTTTCATTTTTTTTTTATAAAATTTTTCATACATAGGGGAAACCCGAGGAGACCCCAAATTTTGCTAATACTTGGCAATGGTTCAAACGTCTGAGCTCTATCGCCAAGAGGTGTACCTAACTATTAGTAGGAGCTAGATATCTTCCAATAAATTCCCTAAGTTGAATGAGAGCTCGCCTATTTATGAGAAGGGGAAGAGCCAAGGGCCCAAAACGGCGCCCAAAGTAACTTTTTGTCAAAAATCAAGAAAGATCAAGACGCACGGATGTTTTCCTGACAAAATTTCCTCTAAGAGGTATATTTTTGAGTTGAATCGAAGTATTATACATGGAATCAGACCGCAAGAATCCGATAGTGACAACTTTTCCTGTTTCATTGCTTTACCTGGAATACCTATTATGAATCTCAATTTTGGGAAAGTTAAGCAACTTTTTTCATTTAAGAGTTTGAGGGAATATACAAGATTTTAATCTAGTTGAAGCTTACATCGATGACCAAGGGACAATACCGCATCTCTTCAAACTGACGGTTCTACTGGACCAAGCAAAAATCCTACCATTTTTGTATTTTTAAGGTTTGGTTTGTAATTTTCTTTAACATTACACCGTCAATATAGCGCTCCCACGCGGATTTTGAAAAAACTAAAAATATCAGAATGTATATTTTGTACTGTATGCGGCAAAGTCGCTAGCTTGTTTTCGGCAAAATTGTCAGTTAGGCGGTTTGTTCCATAGCCATCAATATCCTCTATTACACACTCTTTAAGCACCAATTGCGTAGAGCTATCAGTGAGATGAGAAAACTGAAATTAGGTTACCTAAATATAAGCTGAAACTGCTGCGAGTGCAGTACACCCCGATTTTAGAAGAGGTGTGGATGCCAAAAAAAAAAAAAAAAATCAATCTTTAAGTACCTAAATAATCTAATTAAAGAAAGCATTAAAACCTCGATAAGAGAAAAGAAAAGAAAATGAAACTATGTTTGTGCAACGTTTGTGCTAATGAAATATAGGTACAAAATAAGTAAACTTGAGAAGATACATTTTACAAGTAGAAATTAAAAATATCTTTGTCGGAGAAAAAAAAAAGAATCAAGCAATCAGTGAGCAATCTAAAGATAGAAAACATTTTTATGCATGGAGCTGGAGCATTGTTAAGGCAAATCTGCTGACTGTATAGGTAGCTTACTTTGTGAGATTACAGGAAAGCTACAGCATTTCATCCCGAGCCTGAACATTACCTCTTTTGCAATATTACAGTAATCTTGCCTCAGTCATGTTCGGAAAATGCAGTCCAGAAACACTAATCTTGCAGTTATCTTACCACAGGATTAGCAAAATTTCATCCCAAGCTTGAACATTATCTCTTTTGCAATATTACAGTAATCTTGCCCTAGTCATGTTCGAAAATGCAGTCCAGAAACACTAATCTTGCAGTAATCTTACCACAGGATTAGAAGACTCGGCCGTGACCGTGCCCAGTGTTTCAGTCATACTTGAATATTTTTTTGTTTTGTTTTGGTGGGAATATTTATTTTTCTTAGCATAGAAATGATACCGTTACTTCTCGTACTATATTTTGGACTACCTATAATTCTTTGCATTTTCACTGACTGCGATTATTGCACTTCGTTTGATTCTTTCCAGGTTACAATCCTAGGCATTTAAGAGGAACCAACACTGGAGTATTTATAGGTGCTTGTTTCAGTGAGTCAGAAAAAACATGGTTTTATGAAAAATTACAAGTAAACGGTTTCGGTATCACTGGTTGCTCTCGTGCCATGTTAGCCAATAGAATTTCATATTGGCTTGGTATAAATGGTAAGTTAAATAAACTCATTGGTTTTCTGTGCAGTAAAAATTTCTTATTTGGAATTTTCACTCTGGAAATAACACAAGGGTGGTTTCACGATAACAGGAATAGCTAAAATGTGCAATACCTTAAAAATAAAAGGGCACCGATTTTAACAAGATCTTATCAACTCATTTTAAAGGTATGCCTACCTAAATATTATAGACTTCCTCTTTCCAGCTTTGACACGAACTATTTTGATTCAGTACAAAGTTATAGTAATTGACAAACAAGCCATTGCATCACAGCTATCAGCTCCTCCCGCGGGACTGGTGGAGGTCTACGCAAACATGGCGGTACTGCCGAATTGTGTCGGTTATATAGGTAACCGACACTTGAAAATGTGACTTGAAAGATGATACAAAAAATTAAACTTGGCATCTCTTGAGATATGCAGGGGAAAATTAATGCTGCCTTAAAAGTTTTTGAATCTTCGGGGACTTCCTTTTAGTTTAATAATACGGAATCGAGGATTTTTTTGCAGTGCTGCACACCTTAAAATCACTGGTTTTCATTAAAAATAAAGTTTTCATTGTACAGAAAAAAGCCGACTTATCAGTAGTGGTTTGGTCGAGAAGACTTCAGAGAATAATCTGATGACAGTCTTGAAACTCCTGGCTTCATCTGGCGAAATAGACACTGTACCTATTTAATACAACTGCAAATATACGTTGCCAAATGTGGCGACATTCTTTCTTATGACTTTTCTCTCCTAAAAATAAACATTTCAGTTCAAAATGACAATTTTCCTGAACATTAGAGTCTCTTTGCTGCAAATATTGCCAAAGAATCCATGATCGGTACGAGTACTGATTTCCCAGATAACATCGGACGTTTCAAAGACGTAGATATCTACTGAAACGGTACTTTATACATGGACACCCACGTGTCATTCTACGTGGGTGTCCATGTATTAAGTACCGTTTCCGTAACGTTCCTGCGTAAACATTGCAGCGACAACGTTTATAGGAACGTTGTGGTGACTACATTGCACGAACGTGTAGCGCAAAGGTTGCTGTAAAATTATTAGAATCCATCTTATTCGTATAACAAAGTGCGGCATGTATTTTTGGACTCTCCACAGTTCGTGCGTCTCTTTCCTTCTGAACGTGTTTACGATTCGAAAAGTTCGTTAAGTAGGTATCTAGTTATTTGCGATAAAGGATGATTGATTAAACAAAGAACAACCACTCACTTCATGGGTACGATTTTCATTGAGGTATACGTACCACAGGGCGAATAAAGCACTTTCAGTCTTGGAGTAAAACATGAGATCAACAGGTTAAAATGGTAGACATTAAAGTGGGACATAGAATTAGGAAGGGGGGCCTGTTGCACCAATTTTTTAATTCCTTCAATCGAAAGAATTTAAGGCTCCTGATGTCACAGGAATTTTCCCGGAGGTTTTTGATCACCGGAAACCCCCAAAAAATCAACTTAAAAACGCCTCAGAATTTGGATTTTCAAAACGGTCGTTTCGGGTCCGCCATACTTACTTGTGACGTGAAATGATATGACAGCCATGATTTCTTCATCACTTACAATGTATTTTCCCGTAAGGAAATGGCAGCCGCTTTTCAAATGCAAATATCGAGTCAATCGATAATTTTTTGATCAAAATGGAAATCAGAAATGGATTCCTCGTACGTTTAAAACGTTAAAACCTTCATTAGATAAATAAGAACCGACGGGATAAACCCTATTTTTAAGGAAGACTGTAGTCAATGGGCGATTGTTTACATCTGCTTAGTGAAAACAGACATGGACATTAGCTCAATATTTGGCCATTTTCATGAGTTTTTACTTTTTTGTCACTATTTGAAGGTAAGTTTATTTTGTAAATCAATTGTTTAGTGCCTTAGGATCATGTTAAAAGCTGTAAAGGTATACTTTGTTACTTATAAATTCAGATCACACTCCGGCAGTCCAACGCTCAAACCTGGATGTAGCGAGTCAGTTGTTACTTCTTACTATTTCACCCTTTAATGCTTCACTGAAGACACCAAAATGATAGTATCAATCATTGATGATGAAAAAAACTTACCTTTGACAATACTGATGAGATGAGGAGACCGGTATGTTTTAGCTGGAGGCAAGGAAAGTAGACGTAGGATCCTCCTTCGGTTACCAGACTTTATCGATAAATTTTTCTGTACAGTGTTACATTTAAAACACACAGGATTTTGAAATTACATTTTATAAAACGTGGGAACGTTCTGAATGGTATTGAGATGTTTGTTGAAGAGTTAAGAATGATTTACACGCATTGAGAGAACATCCATGGTTTGAGCGTTGGGCTGAAATCTGAATTAATAAGTAACAAAGTATACCTTTACAGCTTTTAACATGATCCTAAGGCACTAAAACAATTGATTTACAAAATAAACTTACCTTCAAATAGTGACAAAAAAGTAAAAACTCATGAAAATGGCCAAATATTGAGCGAATGTCCATGTCTGTTTTCACTAAGCAGATGTAAACAATCGCCCATTGACTACAGTCTTCCTTAAAAATAGGGTTTATCCCGTCGGTTCTTATTTATCTAATGAAGGTTTTAACGTTTTAAACGTACGAGGAATCCATTTCTGATTTCCATTTTGATCAAAAAATTATCGATTGACTCGATATTTGCATTTGAAAAGCGGCTGCCATTTCCTTACGGGAAAATACATTGTAAGTGATGAAGAAATCATGGCTGTCATATCATTTCATGTCACAAGCACTGAATATATAGGCTCCACAAATCACAAGTATGGCGGTTAAAAAACGACCGTTTTGAATGGGTCGGTTCCAAAAACAGCTTTTTTTGAGTTTAAGAGGTCATTTCAAGGTTTTTTAGTAGCGCCATCGTTCTTTTCGTGAAATTTGCCATGAGAATCAGGCATGAATTTGCAAATCCCCGCACCTTGCAACAGGCCCATTAACGAGCCCTTTGTTGTAATAGTGAAATATAGTATTAGTGCAGTCAGGTTGGCAATTACTGTAATGCCACACCTGAGAGGATAGTGTGCATGCGCAAGGTGACGGTTATCCAAGTTAGGTTATCTAGATGTTATATGTTATCGATCATCAGCTGCAGCCGGAATGGCGTGTTCGTGAGTAATGATGAATCATCATTAATATAAACTTCGAAGGATTCTGCCTTTTTCTATTTCACTCGAGGGGAAGTGTCTCCTCCCGGACTCTCTTCCCCACCCGGTGACTGACGCTGCGCTGTGCTGAACGGTTCAGCCTGAACCTTTCCCCTACGTCTGACCGTTCCCCACTCCTCTGTCAATCGAACTATATGCCACCGCTTACGTATTGTCGCTCGCCCACCCAGGTACCTAGCGGCCAGCGGTCAGTTGATGATAAATCTCGCTCATGCTCCTATGCAGCTACGCATTGATTACGCCAGCTAATTACTTTCTAATAATTAGAATTTCTTCGATAATAGTTTTCTTTATTTATTCGACTGTATTTTTTTCTCTGTTCTACTGTGATTTCCTTGGTTCTCTACTGTGTTTTTCCTAAATCTCTGAGTCAGAAATCTGAAGCACTTCGGTATGCACCGAGTACTTCAGATGTGTGACCTGAAACCTTCGGTATATACCGAACTACTTCAATTGTCTGACCCGAACTTCGGCAGATGGACCTTAACTTTTCGGATGCGTGATCCGAAAACTTCAGAGATCCATATGATCTCAGCTTCGGGTTCCATGCACAAATTTTTTTCTCCGTGTTTCCTTTTAGGGGACGCAACTAAAATTTCAGTAAATTTTTTTCAGAAAAGTAAAGAAAAAAAAAAGAAGAAAAAAAAAGTGGCTAACGATGGTTCCTCACCTTCACGTGGTGTTGGCTGTTTTTACTAAGTGGGAACCGTCCATTTTAAGATATAGTCTATTTCTTGCCCTGCCATTATTATTCTACAAGTTAATTGTGGAGTGAGAATTTCATAATGTTTTCTATGAAATCTTCAAAATATAGTGATAAAAAATTTGCAACTACTACAAAATCGGCTCGCTTCGCGAGCCGAATGTCACTCGCGTAGCGAGTGACCGGGGGTCCAGGGGGCGTAGCCCCGGGCTAGGCGTGACGGGCGCGCGAAGCGCGCCCAGAACGGCTAGTAAATCTATAATTCCGTAAAGTGCGTTGATTCATTTTCATCTGATCGAACATAACACCTTTCATGAATACATAAAACACTGAGAAGGGCATCAATTCACGCAAAACATTAAGCTGCGAAAATCATTTGGTACGCCGAGAAAAAGATTGCGAAGGTGGACGCAATGGAACAGTCACAATCTCCCCTGATTAGACTGATTCCAGGAACTTGGTTGGTGGCGACATGGGCCGCGTAAGTATGCGCAGTAGACTTTTTGAGCAATCAACGCCGCGAAATGTTGCGCCACCTAGCGGGCGCTCCTCACATGTGCCGCCTTTTCTAGTGTGACGTGTTTTAAACAACATATAGGGTTCTACGTCCCGGCAACGTCGACAGCGAAGTGCTTTCGCGCCACACATTGGTCAACGTAAATTTCAACGTAGAAATCGGAACGTTTCTGGAACGTCTCACGGTAAACGTAGATATATCTACGTCCTTGAAACGTCCGATGTTATCTGGGAAATCAGTACTCGTACCGATCATGGATTCTTTGACAATATTTGCAGCAAAGAGACTCTAATGTTCAGGAAAATTGTCATTTTGAACTGAAATGTTTATTTTTAGGAGAGAAAAGTCATTAGAAAGAATGTCGCCACATTTGGCAACGTATATTTGCAGTTGTATTAAATAGGTACAGTGTCTATTTCGCCAGATGAAGCCAGGAGTTTCAAGACTGTCATCAGATTATTCTCTGAAGTCTTCTCGACCAAACCACTACTGATAAGTCGGCTTTTTTCTGTACAATGAAAACTTTATTTTTAATGAAAACCAGTGATTTTAAGGTGTGCAGCACTAATTCCGCACTGCAAAAAAATCCTCGATTCCGTATTATTAAACTAAAAGGAAGTCCCCAGATTCGAAAACTTTTAAGGCAGCATTAATTTTCCCCTGCATATCTAAAGAAATGCCAAGTTTCATTTTTTGTATCATGCTCCGCGCATGTGCCGCCTTTCTTAGTGTGACGTAGGTATGTTCTGGACTCCATGAGTTCTACGTCCCGGCAATGTCGACAGCGAAATGTATTCGCACCATAGGTACATTGAACAACGTGGATTTCAACGTAGAAATCGGAACGATTCTGGAACGTTTCACGGTTAACGTAGATATCTACGTCCTTGAAACGTCCGATGGTATCTGGGAAAGTACTGATGCCTAGATCGATCTGATCATTTCAGGGAAAATGAAGCACCCACCTGATATTTGGACCAAGTTTAACAGAAAGGAACCAAGCCACATCAGCTATTGCCAAATTTAACTGGGCAATACATTTTTTTACGAGAGAACGTTTTATGCGGATTCCTTTGAAATGTTTTAGGAATTTGCTTCAAACTATGGAGAATTTTCACTGAAATTTGCACGAAAATCCGCAGAACCGTTTTCATGTAAAAAATTAAATTGGCATAAGCAATTTGGCAATAGCTGGTGTGGCTTGGTTCCTTTCTTTTTAACGCGGTCCATTTAATTAAGCTATTGACAAAACAATTAAAATTAGATGCATTCGAGCCGGTTCAGTCTTAGCGGGAAATTTGGAACGAAAAAGCAATGCTCGTTGTCAGTCCGCATGGCCTTACGGTCAGCTTGTCTGACTCCAACTCAATCAAAGAGAAAAAAAAGGAGGTGTTTGCATTTCGGGCATCTTGGAATTTTTTAATGACTTGATGACGTAGGTGGGTACTGCGATGTTTAGCGTGAATGGGACGTCGCTGTACCCACCTATGTCATCAAGTCATCAAAAAATTCCAAGATGCCCGAAATGCAAACGCCTCCTTTTTTATTCTCTATGCAACTCAATAGGTTCCAGGCTCAAATCCTAAAGTTGTACCTAGCGACCAATTTTCTCGAAATTGATGAGTAGATTTGCTGAAACAGGTTTTACCGGGCTTTGATCCCTGTGAAAAGACTTGCGCAAAAAGAGACAAAAAGTGCCCGTTTTTGGGCACTCGAAATTAGGGGTGTATGGGGATTTTTTTTCATCTCTTGGATGACCTTTTCCTTTTATTAAAATCTCGAACCATTTTCGGAATAAAATGGGAGGCGAGGACGAAGTCCTCGATTTTCACTCATTTTTGCAAATGAGTGCCTCAGTGTCGAATTTTAGTTGTAACTTGTTACGCGATTCAGGCATTGAAACACGATTTGCGGTGACTTCCAGGTATTTCCGATGGATTTTCCTCAATGTTTTCACCTAAGTCCACGCGATTCTTTTGGGAGGGGAGGGGATAGAGATAGCTTTATCTCTGTAGGGCGTGCGAAAAATAAGAATACTTGCCAATGTTCTAAAAACAAGTGCCTCGCGGTTTGAACAAAACCTAAAATAAAGTGGCCAATTTTTTTAATAGAGAGGAGGTTGTATTTTCACCAGGAGTCTCCATTGTGTGAAATCTGGTTGGAAGGAACATGAAAGAAAAAACATTTTGGTGCAAACCACAAACTTGTCGCCATCCATCAATGTTTCAAAATGGCGGCCGGTTCAAGTTCAAAATTATGAAAAATTGATGTTCCAGTTGTTTATCGGCCAATTTGGATGATTTTTCGCATTCGAGGGTTTTCCGGTGTAAATATAGAAAGATTCTGACATCAGAGATAAAAAATGCGGAGCTATCTTCAAGATGTTCTTCAAGAGCTTCAAGAAATGTATTCTGACATCAGAGAAAAAAATGCTGAGCTATCTTCAAGATGGCGACGCTTGCAGCCATTTTCAAGTCTGCTGTCTCCAAAAGATTGCAAATTTTTGCAACCCTCTTTACCTTGCAATCTGTTTTCATGCGAAGGAACCCTCCGGTTAACAAGTTACCTACATCCCAATAAGGAGGGTGGTAAACAACCGAGACATTAATATCCGCCACTTAGAACATATATTGGCCGCCATTTTGAAACGCTGCTAGATAGTAAACATGTAGTTTGCCCCAAAACTTTTCTAAATTTATGTTCTCACTGACACGGTACGACACGATTGGGGCTCCCCTTCGAAGTACTTACGAAAGTTACCTTCCACCCCTCAAAGGTGTAATAAGGCAGATCTCCCCGTCTCTACTTACCGGGGCAAATTCAGGTCGGCTGAGGCCTCAATAGAACTCTGGAAAAAGATTCGTTATCATTACTACGCTGGTCGCTAGATGAACTGCAGTGGTGTCCATGGGTCTAGGGGTCTACATTTAAGAGAGACTCAGCGAAACAAAGGGGAAAAATTCGTAGAGCTCTGTTTAATGTAGCTAAGTTTGCACACGGATTGTCTCCTTATTCACCCATACGTTACCTCTGTCACGTGCAGATCTGCTATCCATCTTTACATGGCCAAATTTGATTGGTTGTAAATTGTATAGGTATAATTTTATCGACATGTAGGTAGTCATTGGATCATCTTTCGAATGACAGATAATTCACCTAAACTTTTGTGTGCTATCAACCCTCTGCAACTATTGCTCAATTATTTTTCATGTTCCAAGTGGGAAAGTATTCGGCCCTTGAACAGTTCTTAATTTGCTTCAGGGCCCAGCTACACAGTCGACTCAGCTTGTTCCTCGAGCTTATATGCTTTGGAACACGCTTATAAATCTATAAGAGATGGCCATTGTGATGCTGCTATAGTAGGAGGATGTAACTTGTGTCTGCATCCGTATGTATCTCTTCAATTTGCTCGCCTCGGGGTGCTCAGTGCTGACGGCCGATGTAAATCATTTGATGAGGCTGGTAAGTTATGCATCATCGTTTAGTCAGCAATTTTTTTGGAACAAGAAAAATGTCTTAAATTGCATGCAGAGAAACCGTTAAATGCAGATTCAAGTGTTGATCCAATTGGAGAACGACGTTAAGTGGGAGTAGAATGGGGTCAATGCATGGAATTCAAGACATTCCGTAATTTTACATGTATAATCACTTTAGATGCCGTGGAGTGTATCGATCTTATGGGAAAAATATGAAACGCAGTGGCTTCGATTATGAAACGTGTTTAGCTACCATTAAAATTTCAGTTCAAAATATTCATTTTTGCTTGAGTTATCACGCAATCCCCTCGCTTTCGCCTATGAAAACTTTAAGTGGCCGCCATTTTACGAAACGTGTTGTCTGATTTTTCCAAAATTCTATAGTAAACCAGTCTAATTGGACTTTTAACTACATACCATTTAAAGTTCAGCCTGAAATATTCATTTTTACTCGAGTTATCGAGTGGGCATAATCAAACAGTGGTCCCTCACAGTACAAAAACCAAGCAATGCATTCAAAAAAATGTCTAAAGTTGAAAACCAAGCGTCCTTAGTATATTACAAATTTAAACATGATTTCTTTCGGAAACTCGAAATTCAGTGGCACATGAGGCTTTGAAAACTGAAAAAACCACAGGTTGGTTGAAATGTATTCATACATACGTAGATATTGAATTCATAAATTTTGAGAAAATGTCCTCTATCGAATATATGTGTGGAATGTGAAGATAATGGAAAAAAAACTCAAACTATAACTCAGGCTAAAAGGAAGAACGGACTACGCCATGTTAGAGACCGGATGACAAATTTATTGGAAGCTGCTTTGGCCGACAACCTCGGGCAGCTTGGGAACAGTGTTGCCTCAGTTGGCTAGACCTAGAGCTGTAGGAAGGCTACCAACATCCTCCCCTTTTTCGAAAATATTATATATATTTATGAGAGAAAACACACTAAAAAGTGGCCCGAACTGTATGTAACAAGGTAGAGAAATGGTGCAGGGTCCACACCATTTCGCGGAGAAATCAAAGCCAAGACGTTCCAAAAATTATAATTAGAGTCAAAAATAAATTTTTTCAACCTTAATATGAGTACCGGTGCAAAACTGAGGAGGGAGAGCGTTCAGCTCGGACAGTTTGCATCAGAATATTAAGTTGGAGCCACGCCGAAAGATCTATACCGGGTTATATCTTTTCGGGTTTTCCTTGTTTTGTCATGAGATGCCGCAATCAGACGCTGAATTTAGCAGCTGAATGTGGAAGTCAATAGTCCTCGCCCAACGGCTGAAATTTAGCAAATTCGAGTTATTTTCATCCAGATGTGTATCAAATCTACTTGAATAGTTCAGACAAATTCAAATAACTGGTCCGATGGTTGCTGAGAATCGTTGCTGAATTTTGCGCGTCACGCGCAAAATTCAGGCATCGGGCCGATGACTTCCACATTCAGACAAGCCGAGACAAGGCTCAAAAGAAAGCTTATTATAAAGCAAACTTCCAGGAAAAGTTTCAACTTGAAGTGACCCCTCGTTTAGGCTGTACAGCGTTGCCAATTTTCCATTTTCATGAGGTAATATCGAGGAATTCTGGATCAGCATGGTTCAACAGACTAGTGCACCCGAGTTGATCATCGAGACAAGGCTCAAACGAAAGCTTATGGTAAGGCAAACTTCCAGGAAAAGTTTCAACTTGAAGTAAAACTTCGTTTAGGCTGTACAGCGTTGCCAATTCTCCATTTTTACGTGCAAAAATTGAGGAATTCGGGACTAACAGTCCAGTGCATCATAATTAAACAGACTAGTGCATCGGTCGACGAGCGGAATACTATACCCTGAAATCGAATAGAAGCGCAACGAAAGGCCATCGTGATCATTTCGAAGCAGTGTTGCCAATTTATTGTTAATGTTTTTAACATAAAATTTAGGGTATTTTCGAGATTTTTGGCGGAAAACGTACCTTCCTGGGCTATAACATTGATGAGTTTGGGCTAAACATTACGACTCGATAGTAAATGAATGATACAGACGGAGAAAATTGAATCCCGAACGCAATGTTGCGTTCCGTGTGCGTTGGTTTCTCCGTCTGTAACGTTCATTTACCATAGCATAAAAATGGAAAATTGGCAACGCTGTACAGCCTAAACGAGGTATCACTTCAATTTGAAACTTTTCCTGGAAGTTTGCCTTATCATAAGCTTTCGTTTGAGCCTTGTCCCGTTGACCAAGTCGGGTGTACTAGTCTGTTGAACCATGATGATTCAGTATTCCTTGAGTACAGCGCATAAAAATGGAACATTGACAACGCTGTACAGCCTAAACGAGGGGTCACTTTAAGTTGATACTTTGCATGGAAGTTTGCCTTACCATAGGCTTTCATTTGAGCACCGTCCGGTTTATCAACTCGGGTATACAAAAAAAAAGGGGCTAAACTTGGCGAGGCTCTTTATGGCGTGATTGTTAGCTTAAATACAAATGGCTTCGTGAACTTCCAAACTCCTTGCATATATCCTTACTGAACTTTTTTACTTCTCTTAACTGCACTTCTAGGTCCTCTTTCCCACTGGCAAATAGTTTCAGATCATCTACGAAGAATAAATGGTGTACTTCTGTCCCTGGATTCCGAACTTTACCTATATCCTCGTCTGAGCGCTTTGAGCATACAAGATAACGGTGACATGAATTTGATAAATATGCGAGGCGATAAGAAACCCCCTCGGTATATTCCCTTTTTTATCGCCATATGCCCTGTTGACATTGATCCCCCACCTATGTTCACTTGAAGTCGGGTGGCCCAAGTTTGCATCATGCTCCCGAGGACACTCACCACTTTTTGGTTGACTCGTATCATTCGTGAGGACCTTCAGATCCAAGAATGTGGTACGCTGTCAAAGGCTTTTTTGTAATCAATCCATGTCATTACTATGTTCGTTTGATTTTTTTACAATCTTCAACGACCAATCTTGATAGTAGCAGCTGGTCCAGACATCCTCTTGCTCCCTTTCGGCAGTCCTTTTGCTCTATCGGCATTCTCCTGCTGTTGTGTAGATCCTATCAGGTAGCACACCTGTTCTGCCGTGCTAAGGAAAAACGCCGTATGAGCATTCAGGCGTTGCCCGATTTTCATTTATAAAACACGAATTTCCTGGTAAACTTAAAAATATTTTTCTTCCACTTTTTCAGATAATGTTGTTCGCAAATTCACCTGAAGTTCCTGAAAATGTCAAGGAGAAATACCTATTCGTAACTTTCCTAAAAAATAAGCATTTTATGGAAGGAAATTTGACAACTCTCAAATGTTCATACGGTGCTCTTCCTTAGCACGGCTGTGTATACCTACAGCTTGTACAATGTGTTCAGACAAGTGATGGGTCTGTGAGTTTTTTTAATTATCTGTCTCTCTTGTATTCGGTAGCAAACAGGTTACGTCGCGGGTGAGCCATTCAGGACATTTAGGGCCGTCCATTAGTTTATTTAATTATTTTGCTATGAGCCCATGTTGTGATCGAAAATGCTTTAACCAATAGTTCTCCACTATATCTGGTCCTGGTACCCTCCATTCTGCTGTTTTACCAATGACCCTTCCTACCTCTGCCTCTGTAGTTTCATTCCACTCCATTTTGAAGTTTGATTCGAGCTCTTCAATCCACTTCGCATCTTTATTGTGCTCAGCCTCACTCTCGTATATTTCGCGCTAAAAACTATCAACTTCCCCCAATTCAGGCGTCCTCCCGTTTCCACCAGCGACTTCACCTCTAAGTTTCCGGTAGAAAGCTTTCTATTATTGTTTTGAAATTGTAGGTTTTCCTTAAATTGGGTCGTCCTCCGCTTGTAGCGTCATATGCGCTGGGTAAGTGCGGATATCAGGTGCTTGAGATGCTCTGCAACCTCATTTACTCCCCTCAAGCCTTTTGTTTGATACACGGTTTTTATTTGCTCCATCTATTGCTCATTAGTTCCATCTGCGCCCGAGTTTTCTCATAAAGATAGTGCCTCCTGAGTCGAAGTATTTTTGCTTCAATGCATTTCACCCATGCTGGAATTTTTGGGGTCTCGCGCAGCGTCCTCTGCTTCGGTGGGGGGGTTTCTCTCCTCTAGGATTACCTATCGGTGCTGCTACGTACAAAAGATAGCTTATGACTTTGAGGTCACTTGCTCCTTCAATTTCCTGTATTAGTCTTCCCAGCGTGCTATCAGCCCGTTGTACTGTCGGCCGTGTTTTCTTTATGTTGTGCAGCCTATCAAGCTGCGACCGGTTCTCGTTTGGAATCTGTCTTTGGTTCTCGTATTCTTCTCGGATCCACATATCTATCATATCTAAGGCTTCCATTATTGCCTCTTCAGCCACTGTCTCCGTCTGGTCTCTAACTTCATCCGTTGGTTCCTGAGTTGCCGTTTCTCTTGTTCCCGCTAGCATAGGAGTGGTCAAGACTGCGTGCTGGAGGCTCCTCTCGTCTTGTGAGCTCAGCACTAGGTCGCTGTTTTCAAGGTCTCTTTCTACTCTCTGTTTAAGGGCTATTCTTTTTGGCTCGGTTATATAGTTGCTTCTGCAGATTACCCTTATTTGATGAGATAGTCTTTTTTGACTAAGGTCACTGAGCTCAGGGTATTTTTTAGTATATTTCTGATGGAGTAGTGGACTGTATCCTGTAATGTCTTTTCCCCCATTTGCCACTATGTAGTATGTCTCCAAGAGTGCCGCGTTAATGTCACTTGTCCACGTCAGACGCTGCCTATTCCGGCCAGCTTTTGTTGTCGCAGATCTAACTCTTTCTAAGACTGAGTCGTTGGCTCGTTCTCCGCGACTTGAATTTGTACTTAAGTTTGGCGCGAGTTCTATGTGCAGGGGCTTTACATCTAAGTCTTTTTCGATTCTAGCTCATTTTTTTATTTTGCGCACTAATGTGTTATAGTTCTGGATACCTCTCCGCTAACACTCGCTGCAGTCTTGCCATTTGCCCGACGGTTTTGTGGCCTAATCCAGTTGTTCTTAAAAACATTTCCTAGAGCTTCACATTCAGATCTTTAGACCATCCCATTCTTCTTGCTGGTCCGGCCTCTGTTTCTACATCCTCTTTTCTGCTGGCCTGATCGGTTCTCATATTCCATAGTCAGTTCCTCTCATTAGGGCCTCTCTTTCCCTTTTGTATACAGGGCAGTCCCTGTAGGTTACCTGGTGGTTGTCTCTTTTTCCTCCGCTTCTTACAATCGCTGCACATTTAGGCTGTGATTTCGGCTTCTTTGTCTCTGGACAGTCCATATATTTGTGGCCTTCTACTCTACAGAATCCACAGACTTTATTGGGGGCTGTACAATGTTTGGCTACGTGGGAATATGCTTGACGATTGAAACATCTCGCAGAAGAGACACGGTCTGAGCAATACACCGTTCCATAGCCGACAAATAACCTGGGATCTCTCATTGCTATACCTATTTCTCACCTTGGAGGAACATTCTTCTATCCAAATTGCTTTTCCTTGATGCCGTTCTGTTTTCAAAAATTGTTTCTTCACTGACACAAAATGTTTACGAAACCCTTGTATAGTGAGAGCCCCTCCGAGCCCCCACGCGCGAAGCGCGCCTAGAACGGCTAGTATTTAAAAAGAGTAAACAGGTTTTCACCTGGAAGGCTCCGGTCATCAAATTTCTTACTTTAACAATATTCTACACCTTCGTAAAATATATTAAAGCGAAAGTAAAACCAAAGAAAAAGCTTCCTCGCTTTGTTTGCGTTTTACCGTAAGAGTATTAGAAGGACTGAAGCTAAGAGTTTTCTACTCCCACCTCCGAAATCAATTTAGATTGAGAGCATTTGCTGGTTGTCAGTATGAACCGAAACTGTCAGAAGTTGCACGTATTCATGCTAAAAGTCACTACAAGGGGTGTCTCAAAAGTAAGGACTTCATGTTTGTTTCAAATCATTAAAAACATATAATTTAAAAAAAAATGTTACATGGTTCGAAAGCTTAAATCCTAGGCTACTTTCCTTCTTAATTGTCATTTCGATCGATGCTCTTTTGGAGTCGTGGCAGTAGTTTTCGTACGCCCTTGTCATAGTGGTGAGCTGCCAACTCACAGAAGTATCCCGCCACCTTTTCTTACGCATCGTCATCGTCGTCGAAGTGTTGTCTACTCTAGTGTTCCTTCAAAGCTGGGAATAAGCGGAAGTCACGGGGGGCAAAATATGAACTATACTGCCGTGATAGCGAAGAGAGCCGTAAGTGCAAAATTTTCGAAATCGAGTTTTCTTGAAAATTCGTCTAAACTTTTCTAGATGAAATTACTGAGACAGATAAAACAGAAAAATTCATCCTAATTTAATGAAAACGAGACGTATGAGAAAGCCGTAAGTGCACAAAAAATGACATGGTTTTTTTCAAGACAGCCGCAGGTGCATGACAGTCAATGAAAACAACGCTTTCCAGTAAGTGCCACCCTCTTCCCCCAATTTCTAACATTAAAATGTGTTTGTTGTGCGTCAAAAACGCAACCACGAAAGCATGCAGAAGATAGCACTTACGGCTGTCCTTGCCTAACAATAACCTAGCATGAAAATGAAAAATACCCTTTTTATGTAATGGAAATAAAATCAGTCGATTTTTAATCATCCATACGATTTCTAGGAGTCTTCCAGACGATTAGTGGCAATTCGACATAGAACGGAGGCTTCTTTCAATAAAATGTTCCGGTCAGATGCTTCGGAGCCCGTTTTCACAGAACTTCATTTTTGCATTCCTGGCTCTTCGCTATCACGGCAGTATAGGGGGATGATCCGGGATAATCCATTTTCCAAGGACACATGGAAGACTGGACTCATCGCTGCTTGTGGTTTTTTAACATTCGCGAAACCCACCGCGTGCACACTTTGTGGTTCTGAAGTCTGTCCGTCAAAATTCGGTGAATAGTGGCTGGAAAAATTTCAGGAACCAAAAAAACAAGCTCCTCGATCGTCATTCTTTGATTCTCAAGCATTGCTGCTTTGATCTTCACAATTGTCTCGTCATAAGTCGACGTCTGGCCGCTTCCTTCCTCGTCGTGAATGTCGGAGCGACCAGCTGTGAATTCTCGGCACCATTTGCCCACGTTATTTACGTCCATAACCTCATTTTCGTACGCCCTTTACATTTAAAAACCCGTATTACTTAGTAGATTCCGCATTTTGCGGAGATATCGATCAGAAGATTTATTGAAGCAGAGGTGGTGGAAACGCCACTCGCGAACTGTTACAAAATCGACTGCCAAAACAAGACTAAACACGTTAGCCGATCGGACGAAGACGCGTATTGAAGGGGAGGATTTACCCAACGCAGCAGTGCTTTCAGATTTTCCCTAGCACAATTACTCTAGCTACCAGTGTGTTGAAGACCTTACTTTTGAGGTACCCTATAGGTATGGATGTACGCATTTCAGCCAACCTGAGATTTTTTACAGTGCTCAGAGTTTTGTGTGCCATTGACTTTTGAGCCCGTTGAAAAAAACTTGGAAATCTTATATTGCATGTGTCATCGTTGTATTGTTTGTTCAATTCCAGCCAATGGTTATTGTCGTTCTGAAGCTATCTCCGTAATCCTTCTACAGAAACTGAAAGACTCTCGTAGAGTTTATGCTCGCGTCATTCACGCTAAAACAAATTGTGATGGTTACAAAGAACAAGGTATAACATTTCCATCTGGACCATTGCAACAAAGGCTATTGGAGGAGTTTTACGAGGAGTGTCAGATTGAGCCATCGTCACTCGCTTGGATAGAGGCACATGGGACTGGAACCAAAGTAATTAGCTATTGTTTTGTGCTACCTACTTCATTTGTTTTAGAAGTAAGATATCTGAGAGAATGGATACTTCCCAAGAAGTTGAGTTGTTAAGGGCTCAAAAGTGCCTCGAATGATTGTTAGAAGGGTCCGAATTTTTCATGTTAAGTCGGTAAAGTGTCTTTTGGCCCCCATAGGTCAAAACTGTCTACTCAGACAATTTTTTTGATTTGACGAGTTGGTTCAAAGGTGACAAAATACAACTAGAGGCTTGAACATTTGATCAACTTTTATCTGATTTTATGTATTTTACCATCATGGTTGGTATTTTTCCTGTAAATGTCCAAAAAGAAGTTAGGGTTAGTAGATGGTATATTATAGGCGAAAGTTTTGATAATATGTACCTATTTTCTAGACAGGATCCGACAGTATATAGTTAAACATAGGAACAAGCTGGTTATATTCGCTAAAAATAGCTTGAAGAGAGAAATAAATTTAGTCAGGAGAAACTTTATATGAGCACCTTCCTGAGCAAGTCAAAATAACAAATCCAGAGCCATGTGGAGGCTAATAAATAACCAATGAGGCAAAAGAGGTTAATAGAGATCAGTATTTTCGAAATATTGCTCCATGGTGAACTCGACTTCTCACTCCACCCGCTCGTTTTGGCTGCCCAGGTTGCCCATCCACAATAAAATTCTTGTACTTTGGTGTGTAGGTAATTCTTCGGCATTAGTTGTCTCCCTCATGAGACAAGAGAGAAACACTGTAACATGTGCTCTCTGCGTTGTATTAGAATCTAAAATCCAAACAGTATTACCCTCAGCAGGGACACAACATTCGGCGTTGGAAAATCGCTGTCCCCCGAAATCCTCTCGAATAAGTTCTCCGACTCTTTACAGCCCAGCCCAGCCCTCTTATAAACCCAAAATGGACATAAAACATTTCTGAGCGATGCCAAACTTTAAGGAAATTCTTCCAATGAAGGGCTCAACATTTTTAAAAAAAGAAAAGAATTTTTTTCCAACATCCCTTTTCTGTAGTTCGCAAGGATTTGTTGTTAGGATTAATTTTTAAAGCACAATAGGTAAGTTCCTATTGTAACCTCTAAAATCAACTATAGGTACCTTTTTTGACATTGTCTCTTAGACATTCCACAAAGTAATTAAATATAGATGATAATTCTGTAGAAAGTAAATTACTCAACTCCAATTTAAACTGGCACCCTATGATACATTTTGAGTATCAAATAAAATCAGCTGCTGCATTCTAATACGTTCAACTGCCTTGTATTTTCTATGAGCCAGAGGTTTTGTTACCAAAAGAATTAATTTATAGTTTCAATTTAATTCTTAATGCTTTTTTATATTCTTCTCGTCTTTAGGTAGGTGATCCAGAAGAGGTCAAGGCAATTGAAAATGTGTTTTGCGAAGGGCGCAAAGAACCGCTACCAATTGGATCAGTCAAGTCAAATATTGGCCATTCTGAACCAGCATCAGGTTTATGTTCCGTCACTAAAGTTGTCATTGCCATGGAAACTGGCTTCATCCCACCAAATATTAACTTCAATACTCCTCGAAAAGATATTGATGCATTCTTCAACGGAAAAATCAAGGTATTACCTAAGTGATTTCGTTATTTTTAATTTTTATCAAATCGAAAGCACCACGTTGGTCTCAGATGTTTCTGTATCGTACCATCAGATGACAACATAGCTCCCCCCCCCCCCCNCCACAAAAATGCTTAAAACACAGAAAAGTACATACGTCTTGCTAAAGAGTTTGACCTTACCTAGTTGCCAGAGAACAGCATAACTTACCTACTCATTAGAGCATTAAAGTTTTCGGTGATACATATAGATTCTTGGAACCAGAAAATTTTCCTTTCTATTAATAAATTTACAAAAATTTGGGACACCTATTGGAACTCAAAGCCCTACCATTATTATATTGAACCATTACACAAAGAAGAAACAAACCTGTCTCCATTTACACAATATAATCAGGTGGTTGTGCTGGCAGTGGCAAAATTTGGTCTCAGAAAAAAACCTTTGAAAAATTTTCTCAGTACCAACTATCATGAGTCCCTAACTCCCCTTACTTGGACTCCATACCAGTCTTTTCTTTTGAAAAAAAAGACTTGAAACGCTTGCAAGTTTGTCCTGAAATGCTTTCTATTGCTCATCGTCATTCTCGAACAATTAGGTTTTTGTTTTTGGTTTTACAGCTGCGACTTTTCCTGGGAAGTCATGTTCAAAGTTAAGATTAGGGGTTATAAATACACAGAGACGTTTGTATTCATTTAATGTTTCGTTTGCTAACCACAATTTTCATTGTCTGTTGGTCTCCCGCCATTTATGAGAACCATGGCTTTGGAAAACGATAAGTTCACCTTTGAATTCCACAGCTGACATTATTCCCTAAATCGATGAATCATTCGCTGTAGTACACCGTATTACTTCAAAACATGAGTGCTTTTTGTCAAAATCGGCAAAAATATTTTCAAAGAAAAGATAATGAGCTCCTCCTCTCTACTCACCACCCAAGTAGCAGTGATCGCGATAAATTGCGATGTAATCGAAGAATGTATCGCGATTTTATCGACGTCAATTTATAGCAATATTATCGGATAAAAAATCGCGATAAATTGCGATTTCCTCGCATTTAATCGAAATAAAATCGCGATCCTATCGACGGCGATTCATCGCAATATTATCGGGAGAAAAATCGCGATAAATTGAGATAAAATTTCGATTTTATTGAACGCGATTTTTTAGAGATAAAATCGCAATAAATTGCAATTTCTTATCAACGCCCACTAACGCATGAATGACGCTAATGAAAGATGTTTCTATGCCGCCGCCACTCCGCCCCCGCATTAAGGTTAAAATGTGCCAGCTTCTAAAATCGCTTCTGCATGGTCATAAAGGATAGGGCATGAAGTGGATGGGAGTAAGGAGAGGAGGAGTGGGGTGACGCGGAGTTTATTTTGAGGGGTTAAATTGCAATTAGCGGAGTTGTAAGAACGATTCGATACGGGGTTGGGCGTGGGGTTTGGATGGTGGGAGGTACGCCCACACTGAAAAAAAATTCTCGGCGTTTTTACCAAGGTCCGTTGGTAACTTTACCATCTCACTTTTCTTTACCAATTATTGGTAATGTTACCACGACAGACTGGTGAGCTTACCTAAAACCCGGTATTTTTACTGGTTTTTTTCAGGTAAGAATACCACTTTTATCGGTAATCAATTCCCGACAACTTTACCATTTGTTCTCGGTAATTCTACCACAGTCGATAAAAAATATTGGCGTATTTACCAAGGTCCATCGGTAACTTTACATTCACTCCTTAACCATATAGTGGCCATATTCTAGTGGCAATGTGTTGGCCTACCACCGCTGCGACTCAGGGTTCAAATCCCCGCGGAGGCTCCGGGGATTTTACGCTCGTCTTCGTCAAAGAACCTGACGGCTAAACCTGACGGTAATCGGCTAAAGACGCCTGAATCCGCCGCGCACGTTATATGGCTCGCGGCGAGATACAGCGCAAACCCCATTTTTTTGGCGATTTTATCGCCGATAAAATCGTAAAAAACTCGCAATTTAATTTCGAAATATCACGATTTTTCCTTTGAAAAATACTACTTGGGCAAAGGGGGAGGGGTTCGGAGGGGGGGGGAGGAAGTATTTTGATAATTGCACAAATTTCCTTACGCACCTGCCCTCTTTATACTCAGGGCGGTCCTTATGTCGAAAGTTTTTGTCGATGACGTTAAAAGTAAAAAGCCGCGGCTCTGCATATGATTTGCGTGAAATTAGCACATCTTAAATGAAAGAGAGCATTCTCATCTTGATGTCAAACATAGTCTAAAATAAATACATGAAAACTCTTTCAGGATCTCATTTATAGAGGGCTTTTTTCAGGATCTAGGAAAATGGTCATAAACTCTGAAGCCAAATATTGGCTTGTGACACATTCATTTTACCGTCCGCCCTGTTTCTTTACAAATGCATCACTATTTGGTGCTTGAATAGGTACAGTAAATCTGCTGAACTAATGTTAAAGGAGACTGAACTTTAGAAAACCCATGGTAGATCAGGTTTAATTCGGAGATTGGGCATGACGTTGATGAGGAAGTAATAAGTAAAGGCCAGGCTGGCCGGCGAGGCGCTCTCATGGGGCCAATGCAACTAGCAAGAACCCTGCCGTCGTGCACCCCAAAATTGGACTGTGCGCCTTAACTTCGTACTGTTGACACATTCTGTATACTCTATATTCCCGCAAGGCTTAGCAGCCGTCCGATAGCTAAAGGTAGGACTTATCAAAGACTGGCAGACGCTGCAGAGCACGGATTTTCGGAGCACGGCCATGCCTCCGCCGAGTTGGGCCATGTTGTTTCAATCTCCACTGATAGGTACCGCTAGCAGTCGCGCACACTACGAGTAATCACCGATTTTCTCACAACCCAAGTCGAACAGTGCAGACGGATTATTTACTGGGTGACTATGTCCCTCCCCCACTCAGTTACCTCGAAGGGTCAGGGTGTTGGAGTGGCATAGTTATCCACGGTTACGCCACGGGGGATTGAATCTGGGAGGTCAGTGTTATGGCAGCGAACTGCCTTGACCACCATGGGAGAATAAGTCAATAAGGTAAGAACAGTAAGCCATACGGCAGTGAGTGTAGATCAGCATGTGCTCATGCAGATACGGATTAAGTACGGTACCTCGATATGTATTTATGTAGGTATAAACACGTCTTGATATGTGACAAAATACTATTAAAATAGCGAGTTCATACAATATTTGGACTCTGTATTTTATACATATTTCTGAATACATATTTAAAAGATATTTTTTTCGTCTCTTGATCCTTACTTTAGTTGGTATCTTGGCTACCCAGGGTTGAACAGTTTTCTTGGAGGATATGTAAGTATATGCATCTAAATTCTTTAATTGTACAATTCTCTGCCTTAGGTCGTGACCGACAAAACCCCATGGAATGGCGGTATGGTGGGTGTAAATTCATTTGGTTTTGGTGGTGCCAATTGCCATGTCTTACTAAACTGGAATGAGAAAACGAAGGTCAATGGCGGAGCACCCGAAGATGATCTCCCAAGGCTAATCCCTGTTTCTGGAAGAACTGAAGATGCTGTTGAAGTTCTTTTGAAAGATGTAAGATTTTATTTATTACTAACTTCAGGCACCGTCTCCATTCTTGATTGAAGGTGTTGTCGAAGTTCCTTTGAAAGATGTATGACCACACACGTGGAAAGAGACTACACATTAATGGACCAAACCAAAAAGAAATAAAAGGAGAGAAAACGTTTTATCGTACGCAGTATATCTCTGACAGACCCAGACTGGTATTCTAATTCACGATCGTAGCATCCCTTCACAGTGTACAGTCTCTTTTGAAGACTGACGTGAAGTATAGACCTAAATCAACGTTTTTAACTCATTGATTGACAGTGAACGGTTTGGACAAAAATTGCCTGATTTATGACATTTCCTCTCTATGCCTATGAAAAGAAAAAGTAAAACAAATTAAAAGAACAAAAATGTTCATAATTTTCAGTAGTAATTGTTGCCCAATATTCTTCTCTTAACAATATTCATCTTCGAACATCACTACCTAGCAACGCAACGCCTCCACTGTTAAAAATATAGGAGTGAAATTCGTTTTCTATACAGGGTTATCCAAAAGTCACCTACCACCCCTAAAACTTTTTTCCCTAATTGAGATAGAAGTTTGAAACTTTGGAAATGTTCCTCGGTTTAAGGTGGCAACTTTTTGGTCCCCCCAAAATTTTGGGGGGCGGCCCCCCCCTAAGGGCGGCGGGGGCTAACTTTTTTTTTCAAAAGGCAACCCCCCTTTTTTGATACCTCATTTCGAAAGATAATACAAAAAGGAAATTTTTGGCGCAAACCGCAGGTCAAAATGTTGATTTTTGACAAAATGGCGGCCTGTCAAAGTTCAAAATGGCGGAAATTTGGCATCTCCGTGTTTTATCCGCGGATTGGTCTGAAACGCGAAATCCTAGGTGTTTTTCGGGACGAGAAAAACGATTCTGGCATTAGTTTTCCAGAAATGTCAGTCCTTTTCAAAATGGCGGTTTGGAGCGGGAAGTAGATATTTAGGCTGCTTATCAACGGATTTGTATGAGACTTGGTATCCGGGGGTATTTCGGCACGAGAAGAACGAATCTTTCATTGGATTTTTTAAATTTTTGAAAACTTAAAATGGCGGCGAAAAAATGACGGAAAATCCATATCACGGCTGTTTACCAATGGATTTGCACAAAAGTCAATACTCTGGTGGTTTTTGGCTCGAAAAGAATTAACCTTTAATTAGGTTTTTGAATTTTGAAACACTGAATGTCGTCAAAATGGTGGCGGAAAAATAATGGAAAATCCGCATCCACCATCGCCATTCCCATTTTTGCCGTCATTTTTAAGTTTTCAAAAATTTTAAAAATCCAATGAAAGATTCGTTCTTTTCGTGCTGAAATTCCCCCGGCTACCAAGTCTCATACAAATCCGTTGATAAGCAGCCTAAATATCCACTTCCCGCTCCAAGCCGCCATTTTGCAAAGGACTGACATTTCTGGAAAACTAATGCCAGAATCGTTTTTCTCGTCCGGAAAAACCCTAGGATACTGAGTTTCAGACCAATGCGCCGATATAAAACGGAGATGCCAAATTTCCGCCATTTTGAACTTTGACCGGTCGCCATTTTGTCAAAAATCAACATTTTGACCTGCAGTTTGCGCCAAAATTTTTTTTTTTTATTATGTTTCGAATGAGGTATCACAAAAGGGGGGTTGCCATTTGAAAAAAAAATTAGCCCCCGCCCCCCCTAGGGGGGGCCGCCCCTCATATTTGAGATTACAATTTACAATTATATATATTTGTATATATATAATAGAACGGGCCAATTCAGACAAAATTTTCTGTCGGTGGCCGTAAAAATCATAAAAATCGGCCTTGTAGAACCCTGGAATTAATCGTCACCAGATATGCAAAAGGAGGTCTCGGAGCTTATAGTATAGATATAGTATAAATTAGGTTCTTTGGGCATTATACAGGGTGATTCAAAAGTCCTATCCACCCCCTCTAACTTTTTACCGAATTGAGGTAAAGATTTGAAAGTACGGGGATGTTCCCAGGTCAAAGAGAGCTACTTTTTGGCCCCCCTAAAATTATCAGGCAGACCCCTCTTGAGGGACAACGGACCCCAACTTTTTTTTTTCAAATGGGGAGACCCTTTTTGTGATGACTCGTTCGAAAGAGTTTAAAAAAACTTTTCGCGCAAATCCAATGTCAATATCTCAAGCCGTTTCTACATGCCGATTTTCGCGCAAATTTATCGACAAACAACCGACGTGAATTTTCGGTCATTTTGAACTTTCACTGGATGCCATTTTGAAACGGTTTGAGATATTGACTTCGGGTTCGCGTGAAAAGTTTTCTTTTTTTATGTTCTTGCGAACGAGTTATCGCAAAGAGGGTCTTCTCATTTGAAAAAAAAGTAGGGGTACGTTGTCCCCCCCCCC